AAACTGAGAGTCTCAATGTCGGACCTTCTTTGGAACGTCGACTAGGCCATTGAAACATACCTTTCTCGTCTTGGAAAGATAGTACAATTGGTAATTAGTCTTGACCTTTCTTTAATCTAGACAAATGGACGAGCTCCTCAACAGATGACTTGCCCAGCTCAGCAATCATGTACGCTATGTACAAGCCTATGATTATGACGTATGAGTCTACGGACAGTTGGAGAGGGACGATGTCGAACCGTCTCAGAACGCTATCGATGAAATAGTGAGGGGGAATAAACACCCCACATCTCAAAAGGGTCTTAGAGATTGCCACCCATCCGATGTGGAGATTCTTCCAGGAAAGTTCCTCAGAACCCTCAAGTTGAGTTGAGGTGCATAAGTCTCTTTTATGCGCCTAAGATCCTCAATGTTAATTGAGGATTGTGGTTCCTTCCGCAGCCTGTGGACCGAAGACCGCCTTAACTGAGCCAACTCTACAGAAGCGTGATCGGACGAGCCTGCCACCTCAGGATCCAAGCTCCATGCGATGACCTTCCTGAAAACCTCAGGGATTATACCCCCAAAGACCACCGAGCTCGCAGGGGAATCGCACATGCAATCAATCGTGTGACTGTTGGACGAAGACATGACTATAGCTCGCCTCTGGGTATTTAAAACAGAAGCGAACATTTGTCAGAGCTCAAAAAACTCGGCGACCTATCCATACTTTGCTTTCAGTTCAGGCACCCGAGATAGCTCTCGCTAGACAACAGAGACGCGACCTACCAAGGATTTCGACGGCCGCCATGATAAACCCTCCTTAAACCTAAGACCGCTAAAGATATACTTAAAAACCCTAGTAAAGCCCTAAAAGAATTAATGTGGCCACGACAATGGCCACCCTCAGCCGTGAAAATCAAGAAAACAACTAAAGGAAGGGAAAAGAAACCTTACCAGAATGAGAGAATATAATAAACTCGCCGGAAAAAGCATCGTGAAGATGAAGAAGGAGCGATAGAATGAGCAAGAATGTTTGAAAGTTTTTGTAAGATGAGTAAGCTTTCTAGAGAGTTCGTTCGCTTTTGTAGTGGTTTGCATGGAAGATGAAAGGGCGGGGCTCGATCGTAACCATCGATCTACAGTGAATCTCGACCCTCCATATGTCGAGCAATCTCAGCCCTTGGATGTGGCCACATGGCAACCATCTGCAAGGGGCGATGAACCGTCAAACTGCCATAATCATAACTGTCGCCGCATGTTGGCTCAACTCTGCGTGTGAATAGCTATAGTCACCCTCGCGTGATGAAAAGTAACTGCCAAAGGCTGCCACATTTAATGCGATATGACCGCGTGGGATTTACACAACTATCCTTTCTTTTCAAATTCCGAGTTCATCAAGAGTGACGCAGAAGAGAAAAGGTCCAAGTGTGGAGTACGTCGACTGGGCATGAGTCCGACTCTCGAAGCACGACCAAGTTTCCATCTAATGCCCTACCGATAATGTCGAGCTTGATATCAAATAGAGCAATAGTCTTCAAAGCTCGAAACAAGCATCGAACACTAGGGGGCAGATGTTGTGTGTGATTTTTCCATCAAGCTCGGAGAATTGCGAGGTAATAGCTCAATCCAGAATCAGTCCAACTCAACCGATTGTCCGACCCAGCATGAGCTCATCGAGTTATAAGCTCGACCTAACACGAGCTAGTCGCGAGCAATCCTTGCAGTCGTTCAACCAACTCACAGATAAGTTCAGATCCCAGATATCTTGGGAAGGATCATATCGATGGTAATCTTTGCGTAATCATAGCGCCCAATTGCGAGAATATTGGAGTTGCATTTTGAACTGAATTGTAATCTCATTATTTTCGCTCTTTCCTTTGTACAAACTTTATATACAAACCCTTTAACGATGAGGGAGGGGTTAGAAAACATTTATAGGATTGTCATTGTAAGCTCTCATAACAAATACAAAAACAATGGACGTAGGCTCAAGAGTTCATCTCGCTGAACCACTTTACTACACTCTATTATTCACTGCTGGTTACTTATAATCACGTACACATCAATTCCGTTCTCGTCAAGATTAATCGGATCACTCTAGTGGGTACAAAATCTTGTATCAACACTTGTGATATATGGTTAAAATTTATTTGTTTGTATTTCCTTTTAATATATATTATGTGTTAGAACAGCAAGTGATTATTGTCCTCGAAATTAGTGGACGTAAAACGAAAAAATACACTATATTATTAGTCTTATACAAAGGGAAATAAGTTGTTCTTCATTTGATAAAATATCGTAGCGGACAAGTGGTCCCTTACTAGAACTAGAATAAGATGTCCCCGTTTATTCTCTTATACTTAATGGGCGGTTAAGTGATTCCTCGTTGCAAAACTTGAACAGCTCATTTGTTATGCCAAATGCACTGAAACTGCCGACCGCTAAGAGTTCTTTAATTCTAGCCTCTAGGGTTCCCACCCAATTACCGTAAAGATACATCTCATTTACTATTTGAGTTGCAATATCTACTCGTTAGAGTAGTCTAGGGTCCAGAAAAGTGGGTGGCCTGCCTCCTTTTATGAATAATGTTCATATTGGAGTTTTTTAAGGAAGGTTGAGAGTGATTCGTGTTTGAAAATAAGGATGTCTATATATTATATATATATATTTTTTTTGTAAGAAATGATGAACGTTGCTTTAAATAACAAGGTTTAGTGGAAATCCATGTCAGTTTGGCAACGAAATTTTGGTATGTTATTCTTCAGTCGTTGCCAAATTCTTTTCCACAAAGATAGGTACTCGATTCCTGTGAGCGTTTACTTTGGCTAAAGCAAATATTAAAATCTCATTAGACTTTTGTTTACTTGGTTTGAGGAGCTTCATCACGTCCATATATATTAACTGTACTGTATACCTTCGATAATATTCCATCTTTCATGTCCATCTGGTTTCTGGGACTACCACTGATTAGATATAATTGAGATTCTCTCTTTTGATTAAAAGTTAATGACCCTTTTAAACATATTGTTCTTCAGGAAATTCCTTCCCAGAGATCATAATTACGTTTCCATTTGCTTTCTAGGTGGATCTTTTCTTTAATTTAATAAAAATGGATAAGGGTCCAATAGCCAGACCCCACCAAAGGCACCTTCAAAGGTTTCCAATCCTTGTAATTAAAATAATTATTGCACATGTTAATAGCTGTTTAATTAAATCAGCCAGCACTACTCAAAGAGTGGAGTTTTGGCCATGGCCGATTCTTAAATTAATAGTGCCAAAACCTGTTGCGGTTAGAGGCAAAGCAAGCTGCAGTTAGAGCCTAATTTTATAATTAAATTTGGTCGGCCCCATAATTTAAGAAACATAAGTGTTGGAATTATAAGGTAGGTTTACAGAAACTAGAAAAAAATATGATTAGAGATTGACAATTAGGCATGGTTACAAATAAGGAATCTTCCTCTGCCATTTGTTGTTTATAATATTTTAAACCATAAAAGATTGGCCTGACGGTCAAAGAGATTTGTTTCCTTCTTTGAGTTCTTAGGTTCAAACTTTGTGGCCGTCTACTATAATAATATTCAACGGACCCTAGGATTAGTTAAACTGGATATAAACTGGTCCGGACACCCCAAATACCACCAAAAAAAAAAAAAAAAATGAATAATAAGCAGTGTTATGGACGGCCAAAATCGGATGGATGGAAAATATGAGTGTTGGTTCCATGTTTAAAATGATTTTAATTTTATCTGAGTTTGGTCAAAGGAAATGCGAGGGAAAGTGATTAGTGAGGTAAGTCTTAGTCCTAGTCTAGACACGTCTGGATATGATAAACTCGTCTTTCCTGGAAGCTCAAAATTAGAGCACATGCATCATGAATATTTAGTGCGATGTTTGATATTCACATCTCCAATCATAAATGTTCTTGAATCTGTTGACTAACTTTGAACGACTCAACCTTTTCCTTATTTTCAACTTTATTTCACGTCATTTTTGTTATTTTTCATCAATATATTACGGATTAATAACTTCATCGTAATATTATTACCATCTGAGGTGGAATATCTAGTAGATAAATTCATGATCAGACTGATAGTGAGAAACCTAAACGCGAACATATTAATTTAAAATAATTATAACTTTTAATTTGAAAAGAGTCACGGGATCCATAAGTTACCAACGGAAAACTAATTTCGAACCTAACGATGTGGCAACTTAATCCCCTAGTTGGGGGTCGTTTTTTAGGCCAAAATCTATTGTTTCGACGTGTTTCGAAGTCGTTTAAGTTTTCTAAATGTTTTTTCTATCTTATATAATTAGTCAACGTGATGATTTCTTCTTTTAATTAATTTCATGTTTTATTAGGATTTTATTCTTTATTTAATTGAGATTCTTGTTAGAGTTAGTTATCACCATTTATATAAACATATTATTTGTTTATTTATTTTTAAGATATTGAATTATTTTTCATATTTACCTTCAAACTTATTATAATTAAGTTTATTTGATTGAGACTTGTTTATCAACAACGTGGCAAGTACCGGCCTATTTTTACACAACTCACTGTGTCAATATGTATACTCTGTTTTCATTACCATTTACAAGTTGAACAGTACCGTTTCCCTACAAATGAAAGATCTTGGCACATGACAAGGATGTTGAAAACAAGGTGGAAACAATTCACGAGTTGGGATTCGATTGAATCAGTGAATTCCTATGGAGTTTGCTAAATTCGCAGGTCTTAAAGATCTTTGCTTTGTTTATTACAGAGTTGCAGTAGCCCAAACTTCAATATTAACTTGATGACATGGGTCATTCACCTCCACAACCACAGTGTCTCTTCTTCTACACAAACATCATGCACTCTCTTTCATACATCTTCTGTTTCTAAATTTTATTATTAAATTAAATTTAATAAACTAATGGATATGGCGACACAGTACTATACCTACAACAACTACCACCTGTTAAGTTCATGAATCCAACCTCCCCTCCTCCTCCTATATAAACCCCAACCGATTTATCAAAACCACACACACAAATTCACTGATTCTTCTCTTCTCCATCTCCAGTGAAGAAATTTAACTATAACGAAACACAATGCCTTCTTCTTCAACTTGTGTTGTCTCCAAATGCACCATATACCCAGATCAAAAATCAAGAATCAAAACATTAAGGCTTTCTGTTTCTGATCTTCCTATGCTCTCTTGTCAATACATACAGAAAGGCGTTCTTCTCTCAAATCCTCCTTATTCGTTTACCCAACTCATTTCTTTACTCAAACAATCTCTCTCCACCACTCTTTCTCACTTCCCTGCTATGGCCGGCCGTCTCATTACTAACTCTGAAGGCCATGTCAGCATCATCTGTAACGACGCGGGAATCGACTTCATTGAAGCGAAAGCTACTTTTTTGAATACTCATAATCTTCTGTCCCCGCTCGATGTCCCTGATTGTTTTAAAGAGTTCTTTACTTATGACAGAACACTCAGTTACGCCGGCCACAACAAGCCGTTAGCCGCCGTTCAAGTAACCGAGCTGGCTGACGGTGTTTTCATTGGCTGTACCGTTAATCATGCCGTTACTGACGGCACTTCGTTCTGGCATTTCTTTAATACATTTGCTGAAATTTGCAAAGGAGTGAAAAAAATCTCGAAATCTCCAGACCTTTCTCGTGACACCGTGTTTGACTCACCGGCCGTGCTGAAATTCCCCGCCGGTGGCCCCAAAGTTACTTTCTCCGGCAACGAGCCGTTGCGGGAAAGGATTTTTAATTTCAGCAGAGAAGCTATTTTGAAAATGAAATTCAGAGCCAATAACGGAATTTTGAAAAATAAACCGGCAAATTCCGAGATTATGGGGAAGCAAAGTAACGACAGTTGGATAACCGTTAACGGAGAGATAACGTCCGCTCTGGAGAGTTTATTAAAAAACAATTCAAACCGTACGGCGGAGATTTCCTCGTTTCAGTCATTATGCGCGCAGCTGTGGAGGTCCGTGACACGCGTGAGGAAACTGGCGCCAAGTAAGACGACAACGTTCCGCATGGCTGTGAACTGTCGACACAGGCTGGAGCCGAGACTGGACCCACACTACTTTGGCAACGCGATACAGAGCATCCCGACCTTTGCTCCAGCCGGGGAGCTCTTGTCACGTGACTTGTCGTGGGGAGCCGATATGCTACACAAGAACGTGATAGCTCACGACGACGCTACGGTGCGGCGAGGTGTAGCGGATTGGGAGAGGAACCCGAGACTGTTCCCGCTAGGGAACTTCGACGGTGCATCAATCACGATGGGGAGCTCACCGAGATTCCCGATGTATAATAATGATTTTGGGTGGGGCCGACCTTTGGCGGTTAGGAGTGGTAGGGCCAACAAATTCGATGGGAAGATCTCGGCGTTTCCTGGAAGAGAAGGAAACGGGAGCGTTGATCTTGAGGTTGTGTTGGCGCCTGAAACTATGTTGGGGCTTGAGAATGATTTGGAATTCATGCAGTATGTTTCATAATGGGATTTCTATAATATTCTGAAAGCAAATATCAAGCCTTGAGCTTGAGTCTTTCTTTGTGTGTAATCTATCTGCTATGATTTTAAATTAAAAGTTTGATATTTTTCAAAAGCTCTGTGGTTCATACGATCTACCCAGAAATTTGAGAGGTGATTTGAACTTGGTAAATGGCAATGGCTCTATTTACCATTTGCACCCAAGTATGAAGTTGAACTCTCCGCGGTCATAGTGATATGCGACTGCAGCAAGGACTGACCAAGAAATTAAACCTCAAAATTTAATGTTTTACTGTTTACCAGTAAGCTATGAACACTCTGTTTCACTTCAAAGTTCAGAACAACTCTTCACTTAAAATGGTCTATCTCATAAGAATCCTGCGATTGAACTCCTTTACTCATTTTAGAAATCCTAACTTTTTCCGCTAACTTCTTCCCTCTTTAATTCCTTAAAAAGATTGGATTAAGAAATTGAAGAACAGAAGAAGAATCGATAATGCTATAAAATCTTTGATCTCTTATCCAGACTTCCAGCTAATCTGCTAAGAGTTCATATATTTTTCAAAGTTTTTCGATTTCATAATACAAAAGATTTTCATTTTTTATATAAATCAATAGATAAAAACGGGGCAAAAAAAGCACTACTGGTATTATTTTTGTTGAGGCTTAAATGGTGTATATTTTCCCTTATTAAAATTATAATATAAGTCATTGAACGCACTAAACTGCTTCTCTGGTAACACACCAGCAAGATCTTTCATGGTGAAGTTCATACCGATGCCAGTAGGAACTGAAATCAGAAGAGACCAAAGGGCAATTGTTAATCTGGCAATTGTTAGAAGAGCAGTAGCGTAGAAGAAGGTGGAACAGCAACCATAAGGTGTGGCCCAGCTGGTAACTGGGTTTCAAGTGAGACGAACTGGGTTTCAAGTGAGACGAACTTTACCTATAATGTCAGGGATTCAAATCGGTGCTGAAAGCACCTTGTGGTACTTACCTGAGCCCTAAATGGGATTAGTCTCATACCTTCGGTATGGGATGGAGAGACATGAAACTTTCACAAAAAATAAATAAATAAATAAATAATGAGTTACAACAGCAAGAGAAGGAACTTGAAGCGGGAAATAAGTTTTGGAAATAGAGGAGTTAAGTTTGGCAGCTAATTGAGAAAAATGAAAAATTAAATTAGGACCATTGAATAAGGTGGTCCTAATTTAATAAAGGAGCTAAGTTTGACAGCTAGAAGAAGGTGGAACAGCAACCATGAGGTGTAACCCAACTGGTAACTAGGTTTCAAGTGAGACGAACTTTACCTGTAATGTCAGGGATTCGAATCGGTGCTGAAAGCACCTTGTGGTACTTACCTGAACCCTGAATGGGATTAGTCTCATACCTTTAAGTATGGGGAGACATGAGACTTTCACCAAAAAAAAAAATGAGGTACAACAGCAAGAGAAGGAACTTGAAGCCGGAAATAAGTTTTGGAAATAGAGGAGTTAAGTTTTGCAGCTAATTGAGAAAAATGAAAAATTAAATTAGGACCATTGAATTTTTTATCTGATACTTAAAAAGAGATACTTATCTTAGGATTATGTTGATCGACAAATTTTATCAAACCCCTAAAAGATGAAGTCCATGAAGCTAGAACAGAGAAGAATTTGTTTGGCAGATTTGACTTATCTATAGAGATTTTAGTTTGCTACTTACAAATTTGTTTGTTACCGGAAACTTTGTGCAGCATAATACCAAGGGACTAACAGGTTAGAAATGCTGTAGAAATTAACTAGGATGCTTATTAAGCCAAAGCTGACATTCAAATGAATGGAATGTTGCATTGGGAACAGCATAACTAACCACATATTTCACAGCCCAAAAACACAGACAACCAATCAATAATATCACAATTAATCAACCAGACGCACCCCCCTAATGGGCTTTCTTTTAAGCCCAAAGAAAGTTTACAATGACAACTGATTCCTGAGAAGTTTGCTGAAGAATCCTTTGGGATGTTTCTGCATCAACTGTAGTTGATTTCTGCTGCTGGAAAGATACGTTTTGCCAGCCATTGTAAAGGACTCAATAGCTGCGCTCTCTTCTTTTGCCAGAACCAAATCGCAGCGTTATATTGTTCGTTGCGTATCTTGCTAGTGGCTGCCTTCCAGTCATACTTCTCCGTTTCCTGACGTGCGGCTTTCCCCATAGTTTCTCTCAATTCTTTGTTGTGCAACAGAGGCTCCAATTTACTCAAACAGTCTTCCAGGTCGCCTGGATTAAAGAGATAGCCAGTTTTGCCCTCCTGATCATCAGGAATAATATCAGGGATTCCTCCAGCACGAGCTCCCACCACAGGAATTCCCGAAGACATGGCCTCCAAAACTACTAGTCCAAGTGTCTCAGATTCTGAAGGCATCACGAAAACATCCCCACTAGCATATGCCTGGGATAGCTCTTCACCTTGTAGCATTCCAGTAAACACTGCAGGCATGCCAGTGAACATTTTTTCCAGTTCCTCCCTGTGGAAAAAGAAGCCATGTTTTGTAACTTGACACGCATGGGATTTGAAACATTCTTAATTTCAGACTAATGATATAATCAATATCACATAAGAATATGCCAAAAGAAACATCTAGTTTTGAATAATATCTCTTGATCAAGTAAGATCAACTTAAACTATTTTCATCATTCTTTGGGTTACATGAGCTCGGTTCCTGAAATGATATGTTGAAATGGGCGAGGTCAAGTTAAAGCAGTCAACATATCCAGTTAGGTTCCCAGGTTATAATATGCACTTTATCTTGTAAGCTAATATTGGCTTAGAGAATGGCCTTCAAAGGAAAATGAGTGAGTATGCATGTATGAATTGATTACCTGTATGGACCATCTCCAATAAAAGCAATCCGGGCTTCTGGAAGTCTATCCATGACCCTGTGAAATCATGTACTCCAACTGTCAAGGGGTTGTAAGATAATAATCACAAACAACATTTACAAAGAACAAAGAGCTATCATGACATTCATGAGTGAGGTCGCTAACCAAAGAAATTTCAGCTGAAACTCGATCCATAAAAAAGAAAGGAGATTATAAAATGGCTACACAAATCTGATGGATATCAAATTTTCAAGGTCAGTGTAGTTTTGGTGGACAAGAGGTGTAAAGCAAACAAATGAGTAGCCGCTTACTCAAGTAAGTCCCACCAGCTCATGTTATGTCCTGAACATTTAATAATGGGCGCAAAAACTAACTAATCTTTATTTCAACAAATAATTAGAAAAAGAGACTAATTTGGAGGAGAAAATTAGCAACAATACATGTTTGCATGACTGAGGAATACTACCTTTTGAGAAAATCCAAACTCTTTTCCACTCCAAGTCGGCCAACATGGACTATTAATGGTTTCTCAGGTTCACCATTGCTGTTTAGATCAAAACATATGGTAATAAGAAAAGTTCCTGGAGAAAGGCTAGAATGGACGTTAAAGATTATGAGGGTTATACCTTAGTCTCAATCTCATTTCATGAGAGCGGTAACGTGGGTTGAAGCTTTCAGAATCTACACCCTTATTCCAAAGACGAATCTTATTAGCTGAAATAAAGAAATAGCAAGTTAGTTATGGATACTGTTGAATTGACACAGATTATAGCTGTCTAGTCAACATATGATAAACATTCAGGGAACAACTCCAAACGAAAATGAGCAAATGTATTTGATGCATAATTCTAGATTCAGTTTCTGCAAGGCAGTATTTTACTAAGGTACAGTTCACATGTATTCACCTGCTGTCACCCTAGCTGCTTCAAGATCCTTTGCAATGGCAGCTGATGGAACCAATGTAAGATCAGCTGCTCTATGAAGAAATTCTGAAAATGAAGACCAAGTTGTTAGAAAAATGCATACAAATAAAAATAATTAAAAAAAAAAAAAAAAAAATCATCATATGGTCTTAAGAGTGGGGAAAAAAAAAAAAACAGCTTACTTATAACCAACCACATAGGTGTCACCAGCCAACTAAAAGTGTATCTTGGGATATATCTGCAGATTTAAAAAAGAAAAAAGTTTAATCCTACCCCTAAACAATAATTTACATATGTAGAGAAATCAGGCACATGTCATATGCTAATTTAAGAAATTGATAAGTTTTCTACTCATTTAATTGTATTAAATTAATTCATAACAGCGTGTGCATGCAAGTAAGGAAATTATTTTACCGTAAAAATAGAAGAGAATTAAACTCACACTGGAACATGAGTGTGATATGACATGACAATTGGTACACACAATAGTTTTGCAATGATCAGAGCACCAAAAACCTACAAAAGTTAGAAAATGTCAGCCATGTCCCAAATATTCTAGTTCTGCCATTTGTTCTTCTTGAAAAGAGATCATAAGAATCAACACTCAAGAGAAACCATTAGTCATTACAAACTTACCATGATCCCAGGTGAAGATGCATGTATTATGTCAGGTTTAAACCGAGCAACCTCTGAAATTATTCTGGGACTAAGTGCTAGGGAAAGAGGCACTTTCTGGTACCAAGGGCAAGGGAAGCTGCAAAGAGGAGACGGAAAAATTGAGAGCCAAAAGGAATGGACAATTCTCAAAACCAAAAGCACTGCCACATAACAGAAGTATGTGCACAGGCTCCTAAGTCAAGCAGTTCTAGCAGTCTGCTAGAAACAGACAGTAAAGAAAGATAATAGAAGATAGATCACACAAAACGGTAATCACCAAACATTGATTAAGAAAATTACCAATTGCTGTCATGTGAGAATGCTGAACTCGTTATTAACTATATTCACATATAAAAAGCACTTATTATATTTTTATTAATCTAGTGATTCTCCAAACAATGGGATCACATCTTTGTTGCAATTTAAGAGAACAAAAAAGATCTTTTATTTTGTTTTATTGTTCTTCCTGTTTTCTGATGCTTACAAAATTAACTTTCTCAAGTAGTTAATGAAGTAGGTTGGAGAAACAACTCACTTTTCTACTTTTAAATATCTAAGGTTTGAGTCTCTAGGTCAGCATTTTCAATACTTTTATTAATTGCAAATTAGTCTTTTGCCTCTGAAGGGACACATAAGAAAATGTTCCAAATGAGGAAATAATGACATT